TCACACAAAGTAAAGAGAAAATGTGAAAATACAAACTCAATTTGTTGCATGCCCCCGATATGTATGGAATGATAAATCAAATCGCTGAAAATTGCCTCGAACTACGAAGGATATGAAAGTGACAAAATAATACACCAACGTGTGGCTCGAACCTCCAAAGAATATGGACAAAATGGGACCTCACGTCGATACCAAGACTCCAAAATAATAGAGCAATACAAAACTGTTTGTAGTATTTTTGGGCATGTGGTATCCGAGCTACCCGACTCGGGTCATTCTCAAAGGAAGCTTGTTCGGAGCTCCGTTCACTACCTAGTTGTCAAAATCACATAACCAAAAACAAGGTCCTACACATTTTACTCACTTGATGAGGATTGATTTCACATGAAATTAAACTAACAATCTAGAGCAAATGAAAGCAAACTATGCAAGATAAAGACTTTAGGTCAATCGGAGTCTCTATCAGATAAAGACTTTAGGTCAATCAGAGTCTCTATCACTCGAATAGACACGATGAACCAAACAACATCATAGTAGCCATGTGATCCTAGGTGATTAAATCGAGCTTTCTAACGAATGACTACGCTTAAAACCAAGTCGTGCCCTTTACACAAGATAAGAAAAAACTAATTCCTAAGACACATCAACAAGCAACAAGAATCGAACATTCCTCCATTCAGCAAGCAAAACCGAATTCACCTTGAAACACATCATAAGGAAAAATGGGCAAAATCGAAGTAATGAAGATTAAAGCTAATTACCCACTCTCCTAATGCATGCGTGAAGAACACCGGATGAAAAAGTTTGAATCTTGAAATAAAATGATGTTGCCGGAAAATGAGAGTAATAAAACTCCAAACCAAAGCATAAAAAGAAAAGAGAGAAAACGGATAGGATTTCCCAACTTAAAAGTTGGGAAATGAGGGTGATTTCTTGAAAAATACAAAGCCACAAGTCTATTTATACTTACACCACAAACACACATTAAAACACACACATTCAATAATTTAGCACTCGCTAGGTAGCGAACTAGTTCGCTATGCGAATTGGTCTTGTGGTCTTGTGCACACTCGCTATGCGGCGAACACGTTCGCTAGGCGAATTGGTCTTGTAGTCTTGTGCACACTTGCTAGGCGGCGAACACGTTCACTACGCGAACTTGAATCTCGGATCTCGTGCACGGTAATGACTCGACAACGGCTCAGGGTTTCTCAGAATGGCTCATGCTCTCAGAAGTAAGCTCGATTCTTCTCTTTCATCTTCCAAAATAGACCTAAAAATTGCACCAAAGACACGAGAAAGTACGCCAAAATACAAACACCAAAGAGAAAATAAAAACACACAAAATCAACTAAAATGGACCGGTTAGATAAGAAACAAACCTAAAACCGACTCAACTACACACATAAAACACATAAAAAGAAGCACAAAAATACAATAAACAAAAACAAAATATCGCGCCAAATTTGATTCGCCACAAAATATACGATTGTTCATACTAGCCCCGAAACGTCGTCAAATGCCATAAGGTAGAGAAGTGCAAAACAAGTCAACAACGCTCTCCTGGTTTTTCAATATAACTACAAATCACAAACTTCTTGAATCAATCAAAGCCACAAAGGCTCCCGAACAGTGATATAACAAATTTCAAAGCAAAATGCCAAAGTGCACCACATTTCAGAATAATCAATAATATCTCCAAACGAGCCTCAATGTTGAAAGACAATCACCCAATATCTTCAAATTATCAATACAAGCTCAAGAATGTTAGTGTTATACACTAAAAGCTTGGTTTTGGATGATATTACACTTTTACCCTCTATGAATGAGAATCATGTTAGATTAAACAAGTTCTATGTTGTTTTGCACTTAGATAGAATGGGTCGTCATCGGGTGAACCGAAGATCATCTATCAGTTTCTTGCAAAACAAGAATTGTGGTTCACAACCTAGATGGAAATGAACATCTCATCCGAACGGTTGTAGCGGCAGTTGGTCTTGACTGATTAGTTGCACTATTACATTTATGTATTGAACATGATCTCAGAGTGAAGAAGTTCGTTTTATACTGATCATAAACGAACTAGGCCTCTGTTAATCACTGCGTTCTCTTAACCCAAAACAGACATATATATGAAGTATATATTACTTTGATTCACTTGGGTGAGGTTTAGTTCGCTGAATTAATTTTCCTACTGTCTTGGGTAATATTAATGTATGTATGATGTGTTGTTAGGATATTTACGGTCACCATGTACGTTTAGTTTGATGATGTCCCCGCAGTGAGTTCATGAAGGATTATTATGCCAAACCCTGCAGGTGGATTAAATTTCGATATAATAATAATGTTCTGAACGAACGCTAGCTTCAATGAGATAACAATATATTAATTAATTTTTGATTGTCAGTAATCGAATTAATTAATGGACATTATATCTTAAACATGGGAAGGTAATTTGGGTAAATATTATTGGAGTCTTAATTGTAATTTGGGCTAGGAAAATGGAGTGCAATAATATTATGTTAGTGGCCATAATATTATTTAAGTAATTGAAAGAGCGGGTGAGGCCCACATTTAGTTCATTACTTAAGAAACCCTATTCCTAATCTCCTAAGGCTCCCTACTGTAGCTCTATATATATATATCATTAGGCTAATGAAAAAGAGAAGAAGAGATCATAATTCTCCTACGTGTGAAACACAAACACATGCACGCCCCTAGTCTCTCTCTCTCTCTCAGTTTTCTGTTCGAGCTTTATCTTTATGTTGTTGCTCCACAGATATAAGTTGAAGAGGTGCTTGAGTAATACAGTAGAAGATCTCGTGGTAATCGAGACCCCGTGATCGACCTGCATCGAAAAGTTTAGCTCGACCTAACTCATTCGCTTTTACTTATAATCTTACCAGTCCATTTCAACCTCCATCAGACGATCCTGCTCGACCACCCGTTCACCTACCCAACTTTCAATCTCATATATTCCTATCGACCTACATCGGACGACTTGGCTCGGTCCACCCCCTTAACTTCTTCAATTTTTCTCTATAAATACCCCTGCTTCCCATTGTTATTCTCTTTCGTACTCCTGCTACGAATTTCTCCCTATATACTTTTTGTAAAAAAAAGTTCTATCTTCTATGTCGTTACTCCGCCGCCGACCACCACTGTTGTTTCCCGTCACCGTGAAACTTCCCATTTAACCATGTCGACGAGTAAGTCTACTTTCATTATTGTTAATAATACTTGATTTAATTCATGTTTGAATTCATGCTCTTCAAATCCCTGTTCTTCAATCTTGTTCTTCACAATTTGTCTCCCTTAGAACATTTTTTCTTCTTTTTTAGAATCCCTCACAACCAGCAACCCCATTGATGCTCTTGTTGATGGGCACGTGACCTCACCCTCTTCTTCTTATTTTCACGAATCATCCTCCAACTTGTTCTTATATCTTCTCGACCTCTCCATTTGGTCGATGAGTCTGAGGAGGACGTCGATTCTCCTTCTCAGCCGCACCTAAACCTAACTTTATTCTTTCTGCACGACCATTTCGTTTGGTCGAGAAGTTTGAGGAGGACACCGGTTCCCCTCCTCAGCCTGCACCCGAACATGTCTCTAGTACGCTTGCACGACCTATTCCTCATGCTTCTCCCAGCTATGCACCCTTCATGGGTTCACTGACTCGCAAACCTATCACATTCCTTCATGTCGATTTTGACTAGTTAGAGCATTTTTTATTTTTTTTAGTGAATTTTCTGACCCATTTGAGTTTCATCACTCCCTGACCTTTACATACTTCCGCGACAGATCAAGGCTGGTCTTATGCTTCCAATTCCCCCCAAGTTGTTGGCCATGTGCGATATATGCTACATCCCTATTACACAGCTTCCTCCTAATTCTATTAGTATGTCCTGTAATAATTTTTTACTATATACTAGGTCTCGTCTGACTTATATTTTTTAGGTACTGCTACGTAACTAAGTTCCAGAAAGGCACTCTGTATATAACAACTAGTAACAACACTAACTTCATAAGGGACCTCCCATCGAACATCTCCTCTTGGAAACCAAAATTTTCTATGTCTGACCTACCAATCTCTTCCTTTTTCCTTTGAATGGTTTACCTATCTGCCAATTCGACTCGAACCTCCACCACGTAATGTGAGTTTCAACATGTTGATCGAGTCATAGAATAAACCTCCCATAAACTCTACTCTAATGATCGAGCACAAACAGTTTTTATCCCATTGGGATTTTGTTAAGAGGATTTTCCCTCCTATTGTTGATTTTGCTAGGAAAAACTCCAATTCCTGTTTACATGTATTTCTTTATTTTTATTACCTGGGCCAAGCCCATTGCCTAAGAATTGGGCCAAGTGACATGATCTACAACAACAACCCATGCCATTATCATATGTGGGCTTGAGCTAATTACTCATCTCTATCACCAGTGACCACCATTGTGTAGCCTACCAACTTTGTCCAAAGTTTGTTGGAATCTCAACTCCTTATTAATATCATTACTCTGCCAACCAAATAAAGACAATAAAAAGATAGCTTATAAATCACAACTCACAAAACTTAAGACAAATTCCCAAATGTTTTTAAACCAAATAATCATAGTCACATTAGTCATTTAACAAGCAATCTCTGCTTTTGGTCTGTTATTTTCTTCTTTCTGCTTCCTTGTTCAATACATATCCAACAAACTGCCCACCACTACACCTAATTCTGATGCAAACCATTTTTTATTTTATTTTATTTTATTTTATTTTATTTTTTTTTGTTAATTGTGTGATATGTACTTGAACTCAAAGATAAGGAAAGTCTTGTAGCAATCATCATTGTCTAGTTTGCCCAAAAGGATAAATAGTATGACTTAGAAAAATTTGCCTTTCACTTATAAAGACAGGACACTTTTGCAGCTCTCATTTGGACATGATCACAATAATCTCTATGATTATATAAAAAGAACTTTAAACAAAAAACACACAAGAAGTCGAAGAATATGACTACTGCTCGGTTTATCAAGTGTGTAACCGTTGGAGATGGCGCCGTGGGAAAAACGTGCATGCTCATTTCGTACACGAGCAACACTTTCCCAACGGTAAATACTCGAATAGTTATATGAACAATGTTTCGATATATGTTTTACGTTGTTTTTGTTTTTTTTTTCGACATGAAGGATTATGTGCCAACCGTGTTCGATAACTTCAGTGCAAATGTGGTAGTCGATGGCAGCACGGTGAACATAGGCCTTTGGGATACTGCAGGTTGTTCGATCGTATTTTTATATTTTTTTTCGATCATAAACGATATTGTTATGAAATAATTTTGGGGAATTTATGGGATAACAGGTCAAGAAGATTACAACAGGTTGAGGCCTCTAAGTTACAGAGGAGCTGATGTGTTTTTGTTGGCTTTCTCTCTAATTAGCAAAGCCAGCTATGAGAACATACACAAGAAGGTTAGTTTTGTCCATATTTTTTATTCAGTTAATTTATTTATTTATCTCTTTAATTAATTAGCTTGTTTTCTCTAATTTCTATTTATCTCTTGATTAATGTTAATTGCAGTGGTTACCTGAGCTAAGGCACTATTCTCCAAATGTACCAATTGTTCTTGTTGGTACCAAAATGGGTGAGATTATTAAAAATTTAATTAGTAAATATATATATATATATATATAATTGTAGGCAAAATTCACACTACATGTCTGTATAAAAATTACATAAGTATAAAAAACTATATTGCAAATTTTTTCTTCAATATTTTTATTCTAAATATAATATTATCTTTTTTTCTGTATCTCATGAAACAATTTTCTTTAATAAACTAGCTAAGTAATTTAGTAGCATAGTCAAGACTTTAAAATTGTCTAAACAGTTGTTATAATAATATTAATAATATTTTTCAATAAATTAATTGTCCATTATTTCTTAAAATTATACAAATTACATTATATATATAAATTTTTTAATCAATATAATGATTCATATGTACTTAAATAATTTTTATTTATACCGCTTTATGTTAGTAATGATAAAATTTTAAAAATGTAATACGACAATTATCTAACATATAATTTAAATATTATATTCTCACATATAACTTATAATACTGTATTCACATTTTCTGCATATGTACAAATGATTACTAATTAGTCAATAATCCTTGCAAGTTTTAATTACTTCATACATTATTTTTATTTAAATGAAATTATATTATACCATTTTTTGCAGATGACCCTTCAATTTAAATAATTTGAGTCCAATTATAATAAATAACTTTTGTTCTATTTGCCAAAACAGATTTGAGAGAAGATAAGCAATTTTTGAGCGATCATCCTGGTGCAGCTCCTATAACAACTATGCAGGTATATATATATATATACAATTCCCACTATTTTCCAAAATTACCCTTGAGTTTTGGATTAATTAATAAAAGTAAAGAAAATTCTCACAATTGCAAAAATTGTTCTTGAGCTTTTGATATTCGAGTTCGAGATCGAGCCATTTTCGAAACAAGTCAAATTATGTCCATCCTAACAAATCGAGCCGAGTCGAGCAGAGATTAGTAACGGCTCGTTTCGTATTATTAGCAACCTTTATCATAAAAACTTTTATTTTCTTTTGGCAAAATACTCCCAAATTTCATTCATTTTTATTTTTTTTCAATAGTTGACATACTGTAATGGTTTGACTGTATTAAATCAGGGAGAAGAACTAAAGAAGATGATTGGGGCAGTAGCTTATATTGAATGTAGTGCCAAGACTCAACAGGTAAAATTCAAATTTACCTTTTTAATTCCATAATTTAAATTTATCGAATTACCTTTTTAATTCCATAAATTAAATTTATCAATTTACCATATAAATTAAATTAATTCATTTTTTTTTTATTATTTTTTTTTTTTCAGAATGTGAAAACAGTGTTTGATACAGCAATCAAGGTTGTTTTGCGACCACCAAAACTGAAGAAAAAGGCCCGCAAAAACAGAGGATGCACATTCCTTTGAAAACCCATTAAAAAAAAAAAAAATGTTATCATTTTATTTCAATTTTTCAAAAAAATCATATATCCTAGATTTAATAATACTATGTTGTAATGTATAAAAGGGGTACGTGTCTATGTGACCCCTAAAACTTTTTTGTCTTAATTTCTCTATTTTAGTTTTGTTTTTTTATTGAATTTAAATTTGCTACACTATTTTCTCTACTCGCTATTTGAAACCCAAAAATTCTATGTAGCCATCGGAAAGTTTTTTTATGAAGTCATCGATCACTTAATGTATTGACACATGTTCAAAGTGTATTTATTGTATGACACATGTCAATACATTATTTGTGAATAGTTGTGGGTGACTTCATAAGCCGAGTCATCCGATCGCTCCATAGCAATACTGTTTTAAACCCATAACTCTTTTATATATGGTATTTGAACATTTACTGTCTCTTCGGTTTCAAAAGCTATACTCGTATAATTAGATACGTTAATCTCATAAAAATATTTAATCCTAAAAGAAATTGAAATAAAAATGATAACATTGTTTTTTTTCTAATAAGTATTTGGAAGTTAAATAATTAATCCCAAAAAAAAAAAAATGAAATTAAATGATATCATTTATCTCGTTAAAAACTTGATAATTGGAAGTTGTTATAGTTACAGGAGTCAACTCGAAAGAATCGTTCTCGGGTTGTAAAGGCTAACCGGATTATTTCGCATGTTTATTCAAACACATAAAAGATCATAAATGAAGTTCTAAACATTGTAATTCATAATCGTTTAAAACTACTAATAATTCCAAGAAAACGCAAATATTAAAATTATAAATTTCAAGTGAGTTCACTGATAAAGAGGCTAGGGAGTCAGGATAAAAGTGAAAATATCTATTTTCGCCCCGTTGGAGTCTTGTTAAGTTTTTCACACTGCTCAATAAAAAATTAAGTTTTTCACCCCGGAAAGTGTGAAGGTTATGCGAAATGACATTCGTCATATTTACGTGCATTTTAAAGTGATTTTCGTGTCCGTTTCGTCGTACTTTGATATATAATTGGTTAATTATGTAGTTAATTATTATATAATTAATTAGGTATTTAATTCATTTTATTAAGTTATGATGAGGTATTTTATTTGAGTTTTGACAGGAAATAGGGTCGAATTAATTTTTAGAGTCGACGGTGAGAATCGGTTGAATATAATCTGCGAATTGTGTACATTGGGATTGTCCTAAGAACAAGGATTACATTGAGAAGGAAATTAGCCCAATTCTTTTTGTTCTATTAGCCCACGTAGCCAGCCCAGCAAGTTAACAAAATCAGCTCAATTGTTGATTTAAAGTGGAGGGCAGTTTTGCAATTTCGCAGGCAAAATACTACATTGAAAAGTTCTCCTCCTTCCTCATATCTCACATCCGCCATTTAAGAGCTCTTGGAGCTTTGCTGCTCGTTCATCTCACGTCGCCGACCACCTCAACGTTTTCCGCCGCCATCCTGTCACAAAGGAGAAGACGCACGACCACCATGCTCGAGCTGTCAGCCTGCTCTCCGCTTGGGTGACGGAGCCGCCGGAATTTGACCGGAGCTCGCATGGCCGGACACCGTGACGTCTTCTGAACACATGTATGCCATGTACGATCACCGGAAGATGCCTGAGACACTGGAGAACCGACTTGGAGCCACTTCCACGCTGAAAGGAAGATTTGGAGTTGTTTAAGCCTCCCAGGTTCACACGACTCGTATGACGACCTATGAAGCCACTACTAGAAACAAGTGCATTAGTAACGAAATTTTGCAACAGATTAGTATTGGTGCCATCATTACAGTATAGTAACATAATTTTGCAACGGATTTAAATTGGTGCCATGGTTATGAGTTTTTGCAACGGAATTTAATTTGGTTTTATTACGAAACCACATTTACTTTATTTAGCTAGCTAGGTTTAATTCGAATAAAAAATAATAATTAATTGTTGAAATTAAATGTACATAATAAGATTTTATTGAAAATTGAATTTCAACTAAAAGAAAAAATATGATGATTAATGTCGAAAATGATTGTCTTATACACTACTTTTGAATAATAAATGGACTGAAAATTAGCCGTAGTGAATTGATCTTACCTCGGTTTGAAAATTAGCGACTTGTATTTTCAATTTTGGTTGTTCTCAATTTTTCTGGCTTGCACTCGCAATTGGTTTTCGGATACAAAAAAATTTATACTCGAAGCGGCTTAATCAGTTCTATCATATACCGTCTATCCGCACTCGAAATCACCAGTGAAATACGAAAAATACATAAAATCGACACCATGACGTAGTTCAATTTTTGGCTTACGCTTAAATTTAATTACTAATGAGTAGGAGTGTTCAAAATTCAACTAAAACCGAACAACCGACCGAACGAAAAATTTCGGTTTAATTTTTATCCGAATCAGTCGCATTTCGATTTTCAACATATAATTTTTTTGGTTATGTCAGTCGGTTTTGGTTTTCGACATTCAAATATCCGAGTAAATGAACCGACGGAATATTTAATTATTTAATTATATATATATACTAATACAATATATATTATTATATTAAAAGACTTTGAAAATAAATGAAAACAATAGAAATATATGGATATATTTAATAAGATTTAGAACAATGTTTTATGTTGTTGAGATTTATTTCATATGCACATAATGGATTCTTAGGTAAAAGGATGATGGCTATATACATTATTTTATATATGTATATATTTCGTCTCTACATTAACCATAATAAGTTGTATTTTGTTAAATAAAAATATGTTGAAAATCTTAATTTAAAACAATATAAAAAACATGTTATGAGAGTTGAGGTAATAGTTTGTATTTTGTTAATTTTAAATAAAGTTGAGGTAAGAGGTTGTATTTTGTTAATTTTAAAAAAGCGTAAAATATCAATTTGCGACTTTTTTTTAGGATATCATACCCGTAATAATTTTATGTTAAAATAAGTGTCTCATATAAATAATGATCGTTATATAAGGTTTAAGAACTTTAGTAAGCACAAATATATGGAATATCGAGTTAAACAAGTTCTTATTTAAACAAAAAAAATAAAAATTAATAATTTGTATTTTATGTTAATTTTAAAAATATATAAAAAAACATATTACTCATGTTCAAATAAAAACTACTCCCACCTCCATATTACCACGTCTCTTCTCCTTCCTCATTAGTAGGTGGTTACATAGTATTTTTCAGATATTGTTTTCTCTCTCAATACGCAGAAGTGTTTACTCATGTTCTATTTTTCATTTACAGGAATCGATTCACAAATGCAGAGAATAAAATGTTGTCGTGTGGGATGGAGTGAGTCATTAGATCTGAATTTTCTGCCGCCTTATGAAGAGAAGAGTTCTTTCACTGTTGATGTTGCACGCCAATTGGAAAATATAGAGGGTCTTAACTTAAACTTACCACCACCATACGAATTACAAGAGACAATTTTTCATTTACAGGTATTATATTGTATTAATGAGCTATTTATATTTATAATTATAGATAATTTAGTATATGCACAATTAATATATTTATAATTGTAAACTACTTTTTTTTATCACATAATTTATTAGATATATAATGAAAATATATTTATGATTGTATTCAATCGGTTTTGTGATAAAAATTTTATCATAAGGAGAACAGATGCAGGAAGAAGAGTTGAACACAAAGATTGAAATACACGATAGGCTGCGGCTTGATCTGAACTGTCCACCCATCTATGAAGGATTCATATCCGATGCTCAAGAATATGAAAAATCTTGTCGAATGATGTCTGTGGATATTCAAATGTTGAAAATATTGGTTCCACAGTTGTCTAATGCGTTGTTTTTTATCTGATAGAAATGTTTGTTACGTCTGATGTTGAGTTGTTTTTTATGTGATAGAATGTTTGTTGTTTATGTAATTTGGGTGTGATAATGAATAATATTATATATTTTGGTGTTCTTCATCTTAAATTTATTGTGTAATTCTTCTCTTCTTTTGTAAATTGTTATAAATATAAAATATAATGTATTCAAATTTGCAACCATTAAAGCATGAATTTTAGATTTGTTGAATGATAATAAAATTAATCAAACAATAATATTTAATTATAATTTTTGTATATAATTTAAAATATGAGCAATAGATTTTTTTTGTTAATGATATGGTTGCTAATATAGACACATTAGGAACAAAACTATCTATTACAAAAATTGTAGCTAATGAAATAGATTAGTAACAGACATTTCCATTTCAGATTCGGTTGCTGCTAGTAAATATTAGAAACGAATATATCAGTTGCAGATTTGGTTGCTACTACTCTACCATTAGAAACGATCTTGGTTGTTGAAAAAATTGTTGCAAATAGTAACGAACTGTTTTCCGTTTCCGAGCATTAGCCACCCTGTTTTCACTAACAAATTATGAAACGGAATTTGTTTGTTTCTGTTGTGTATTAGTAACAGAAAAATACCCTTAAGCAACAATAATTTCCGTTTCTGATTCTTCAATTTCTAGTAGTGAGCACGGACACTCCTCCAGGACTGCCGTACCGGTGTCGGTGCAGTGTCGGACACGGACACGCCGGGGACACGCACGGACACGGGAATTTTATATGGACACGGCGGGATACGACGAAGACACTCTGGGATACGGCGAAGACACTCCGGGGACACGCCAACTCTTCATTGCCCTTAATTTTTTATTTTTTTTATTTTTTTGGGGATAACAATCTTATTTATTGGTTATTTAATAGACTTTTAAACTTTTCTGACTCAATTAATAATTACTTGAGATGCTTTTCTATTAACTTCACTTAACCCACACAACTCACAAGAAAAAGAACGTTCAGTCTTTTACTCTTCTTTTACCATACTTTTCACCACTGGAGAAGAAGATATTGAAACTACTATTACTTTGAATTAATTTGTAATTGTGTTGCTGTCTTGTTGTTATGTTATCATTTATTTGCTTAGTACTTTGTTTTTTAACTTATGTTTACATT